CACACCCCTGGTTTACTCTTTGAGTTCCCATACTTGAATGATTAATCGGCTGCCCTGGGAGGTATATGGTAGAGAGCTCGTTTTGCATACATTTTTAATTTCCGATTCTTGTACTCCAATTCCAAATCACAACCATAAAGGTACGGTATCCTTGCTTATTGGGCCAATGTTAGCAGTTTATTAGATTGTTTGACGGTTTAACAACCGTGACCAAAAGACCTTAAAAACCTCATTTGACTAGAGCGCTAACCGTCTCGCCTTCGTTAGAGTCTTGACTGAATACGATAAATGCGAGTCAGTTTCCAAACTCTATTTTGAACTTTTACAGAGGTGGGTCGATAAATCGACTCAGCTTCCAAATTCTATTCTGAAATTTCTTGGATCTCAAGATAGGCCGGAACTTTCTACGACTTTGGTCAAGGCTGTAAAAGCTAGCTAGTTACTCCATCATTCTGTAGTTTTCTGCAAAATCTTGCTCCTTTCCATTTTTTTGCCTTCTAATTGACTTTGGAATAGCACATGTTTACTATTCTGGTTTGTGAATACTTTACAAATTCATTTTGCAGATGGCGTCTGAAGTGCGAAAGTCGGGTAGCGGCGGTGAAAGAACGGCACGTATCATCACTGGACATCGAACACCACATCAACCAGGACAGGAACCGATGATAGGTGAGCTCAAATTTTAGTGGAGAAACCCTATGTGAATGGTCATGGCGCAGTGGACAAGTCCTTAACCCCATTGTACGGACGCTGGGATGGCTCCTGCTCAAGCTGACTGAGGCATCTAACTCCTTGTAGAAAAAAGACCAATTTAGAAATTTCAAACAGATTTTTTCTCGGAGGTGAGAAAGAAAGTACACATGAATAGCTCCGGGATGCATTTTGCAGGGCAGCTATGCCCTTAATTGTGATTAAAAATGGAAGTCAAGTGTCTGGCGCATCTAAGAGAATTTCGCTAACGCGTGGCAACTAGTTCTTTCTCTTCTTTCTCCTGATTTCCCTCTACCAGTCCCACCAACATAACTCTATGGCAAAAGTCACCTTTGCCCAATTTCCGGGTCGATATGGCGATATATATTCATGCATTTTAGACACCCTTGCTCCTAGCAGACCATCCCATTTGCGGAGGGTGAGAAATTTCCAATTTTCTCACCCTCCTCCGCAAATTGAATAGGCAGTTTTCGACAAATCGACTTTGGCGGCCAGCTGATGCGAGTATTTGATAGGTTTACTCCGTCCCACTTCCCGAACTTACTCGCCTCTCTGGTTTCAAACTCATAAATGAGCCTACTCTGGGTTCCCGTTCTCCCGAGTTTTCTGTTTGGGAGTTTTTTCAACTAAAGTGCTAAGAAATTCTTCCAACCCACACGGACTCACCAATGTTCGTTGGTTCGGGCAGCAAAGGGATAATCGCTCGTGTGTATTCAAGCAGATATATTCCAGTAAATGGGTAGGGAATGAGCCTTTGGGCCTTGGTCTCTTAAAGTCGCTTTCCACCGCCACCACTGTCGCATTCAGCGTTTCTCCAGCTAACTATAGCCCCTGAATAGCTCCATTTTTCTTTTTCAACCACCATAACTGCGTTGGTGTCACCTGAGCGACTCCAGAATTATGGAACTCCAAATTGACTTGAATGGGTCTCATGAAAGGAGCCACTGCATTACGGTACTTCCGCTCTTTTCAACTTCGTTTGCTGTTGTTAACTTTGAAAATCGCTAAATGGTTGTATTCACGTTAGTGCAATGTCACGTTCGTCGTATGGGCGGGACACGGCAGTATTTCATTCTTGGAAGTGGGCAAATTTAGTTTGGGAGATTTTTTTCACGTCTAGTTCTCCTCAAAACTGAAGTCTTGTCTACTGAGGTGACAATCAGGCGTGCGTATGCGTTGCGGTCAAACTGCATTTTCTTTGGACACTTTTTTGTTGTCTTACCGTACATTACATAGTTTGTAGGATAAATTCGTTTTCCGGATTATATCATGAGAAGGAGGCTAGATATGGGAATTCTATCCTAGGCGCTGAAAGCGCTCCCTGGGAAGAGACTTCAGTGGTTGATGGCCCTTTTTCCTTTTTATTGAACCAATTTTTCAAATTTATCTCCGTGTTTGTTTTAGTGTTGTCGCATTCCTCCGCGTCTTATTGTAACGTGCCAGCATTCCCCAAGGAAAGAACCATGGGCTTGTTTTTCGGTGGTTGTCTCTTAGAAAAACCTCATTAACACTAATCCTGGAATGCCCTTTCAATGTAGCTTTCGCTTCACTGGTTCTTTTCAGTTTTTTGTTTTCCATTGTGATGTTGACTACGGAAATACGAAGTCAAATAAGCTCTGAACATTCCGCTGAATCCGATTTCTTGGCTTAAATTGAATCCACACACGAATGTTTGCTGACATGCCTTCTTCTGCACTTCACGCCACCGCCTACCAGTCAGGAGCAGTCGCAGGAGATGTTCGATTGCTTGTCCATCGGCTGTGTGTCAGGCTAATGCCTGGTCGCTTTTTTTTCTATGTGGTTTCACGATGTACTGTTTGAACACCTTATTTTTCTAATCTGCCATACAGTATTGAGGGGCTGATAACAGTTGACAGCGATGGCTCATGTTGACGGTATGCCGTCGGCTCTGACCATTAGCCTCAACGGTTGAGGTGTGTTCAACGTTGCTGACGCCAGTTTTAGTCCTGAAGCACTAGCAAAAGTCGTAGATTAAGCAATTCTAAGAAAAATATCCTCGACTCAAAGCTCAACCCTTGGCCTCAAAATCTTTTGTCGGTGTCTTAGGATGATGCTGTTGTTTGGTGAGCCTTAAAGTATCAGTTGGGCGTTTATGCTCGGCTGCGCGGTGAGACAACTAACTAGAACAGTGGAGTAAGCCATGACCCACGGTAAGACTACTATCTAAGAATTACCGCGTGCTCTTAACAGATCGGGGCTACGTCCACAATTCCTATGCAAAATCGATCTTTACTGAATATCCTCTGGTAACCGCAAAATCCTCATCATAGGAATATCATTCCAGGTTCTCAGATCACAAGCTAGACTTTCTAAAAGACAGACGAACATTGGAAGACAACAACCGCTCGGGCAACCCCGTCCTTATGACCGCAGACGTTTAGAATTACCACTTATCAGATAGTTTCGAATATCATATAGTTCCGCCGCCCTCTTCCAATTCCCTCATCATCAGCCTGTCTAGCCGTCTTGGCCGTGAGCCAACGGAGGGATTGAAGTCGCGTTGCTTCGAGGTCTTGGCAATTTTTTTTCCAAGTGCAAATCCTCCCTGCCTCCCATTTTCGTCTTCGAGCTCAATTCTCATCTCACTGTGGTCATTCATCATCTGCTCGTCAACTATACTAGCGCTTTCAGCATTTTTTCTTTGTTTTGCACTCAGCCCTCATCACCATCTACCACCACCCACCAGCTATATTTGAGTGCTAGGAGATCTCAAGGGGATTTTCTGAGTAAAGACTTGTGCTGCTCAGGTCACCTGGGAATGAAAAGGGCGGACGAGAGTCTCTCGCTTTTTCGATGGACTACTACTTCAGTTTTTACAAACTTTGCGACGAAACTCCAATCAAAAGCAGCAGAGGATGGCTCTCTTCCTATTCGGGACAACGTCATGTCACAAGTGCTTCAGAGGCCCTTCTTATGACTACCAGGAGGAGAATCTANTTGGGGGTATTTAGCCTCTACACTGATTTTTTGGTGCCACTTGCCCTGTGTCGGTCGAAGCTTTCATCCTCCCACACGAATCTTCTTCAACTTTCCCACGCCGGAAAAGCTTGGCTTGGATTATCATTTGTATTCTTCCGAGATTCAATACTTAGACCTTACGCTGGTAGGTATACCATTCTGCACTTTCTCACCTACACTTGTGAGCCGGTGCATTCGAATGCATGGCGTATCCTCCATACGTTGTTCGGTATGGAGCACTTTACAAACTTTTATCCATCCTAATAAAAGCATTCAAAGCTAGTGAAGCCAAAAGTTTGATAGAAGGCTCAAAATCTTGCAGGTAGTGTACCGATGACGCCGGTAATCCCTCTCTCTCTTTATATCTAACATTAAATAAATAAACTAGTAAATAGAAGATTTAAAATGGAACGAAAACGGTTGAATAAGATTTCCTGCCTACTATTGGTTATCCTGCAGAGAATTCATTTGTTATGTGGTTTGGTGGCTTTATCTTTTCGCTCCTTGAAATTTTCTCCCTATCTATGATTGTCTTCGGTTTCCATAGCAAATGATGGATAATCATGTCGTTGGAAGCCTACCATTTCAGCTATCGCCCTCTCTGACATGGAATATGTGATGAGGACAGCTCGATCAGCACGATGTACAACAAGGTAAGGCCTTTGCTCCGAGAATTGGAGTTCGTTACTCTACTAAGACTGGCCAACTCAAAGAATATCTCTGAAAACAGATATATGTAAATTGTTGGGAACGTTTCCTCGTATGAAACTAGAAAATCTTTGGAATCCTATTGGTTAGTAGTATTTTGATCATATGGTACTTTCATCAAAAAGTAATGTGTTCGAAGGTATAACGCAATTTATTACTATGTTGTAATCCATGAGCCAGTCAGGATTCCTGTAGGGTTTCTATC